TCTCTCAGCAGGTAGGAGGGGGGAATACAGATCTCAGCGGGTTTCCACGCCCGCTGCAAGTGGTTTTGGGAGAATCTTACACTCTCCCTAAGGCTGCCCATGCTGGTTATCCGTCGTAAGCCCTAAGGCCTCATAGAATGGTAAACCACATTCCAGCATGTTGCCCATAAGGCAGCAACCTCCCCTTACGCCTAGGGACCGGCGAAAAGCTCAGCATGTTGACACCAATTGTTCAACCCTGACCAATGAAGGTAGGTGCTTCGCAAAAAGGTATTGCCACTTTTCAGTTGACAAACCGTAACCCCCAGAACCCACATGAAAAGGCCACCTTACGCTTTGCAGCATAGGGGCATAGCAACGACCAATAGGCCCTGTAACAAAGCAGGTAGCAAGGGACCCTTGCCAGGGCCCAGTGCACCTTAAAGCAGTTCTATTCAACTATCACAAAACCTACAAACCCACCTTATAGCTTGATATTGAGGGGGGGAGATAATAGCACTTAAGTATGGGGAGGTAATTGTCACGAGTTGGTACGGCGTCTAGCCGTTTTTTAATTTTTTCCTTTTCGCGGGCTCGAACCCGCGACCTCTGTACTACATACCGGATATGGACGCGTCGTTATCTACTGTACGATTAGATTAGATGGGGCGGCAGCACACGGCACAGCTCGGGCTCCGCTGACACAGCCGCTCTGACTCACCGGCCCCCGGGGCCGCGTCAGCATGCTGCGCACAGACCAGCTGTGCACGGACCAGCGCGCACAGCCTGCCCTTATCTACCCCTGTATATAAACCGGCCTCTGCTGCCCTAGGGACCTCAGTTTCGACCTCTTGTCCCTAGGTCAGTAAGCCTCCATTTGTATCATTTCTTACTTTACTAACTAATACATTTTCTTGTCCCTAGCCTTAGGTTTGAGCCTCGCTCACCATCGCTTCGGTGAGACCCAGTCGAACGCCCCCAGCATCCTTCAAAGTCTGTGTTTCCACTGTCGCTCGACCCTAAGTCGCGACATTAGGTCGAAACTCCTCACTGCTGCCGGCGTTCTTTCGGAACCCACACACTTACTTCCCTCTCCTATAGGTCGGGTGGTGCGCACCCTCACTATACCTTATGATACGTAGATAGCCTACTATACATTGCCAACACTAGAGAGACGAACTCTTCAGTACCTGCACTTCAGTGGGCGGTACTTGTCCTCACGGACGCGTGGACTAGGTTCCTGCTGCATAATAGTCAAAAGCAGTACTGGGCCCCACGTGAACTGCGAACCCTAGTGTCTTCTTGGGCACCGTAGCGTAAGCTAGCATAGCACGGCCATTGTAGTACGCGCACCTCCCCGTCCTCCCCCCCATCCAACGTGGCTGCCTGCCAAGGCCAGATCCACGCATTCGACTCCCAGGACCTCATCGACGTCTACATCCCAGACGGCCCTGAGACTGTCCTCTACCATTGCAAGCAGCAGCCGTGCCCAAATCGGACACCCCGATCGATCGAGGAAGATTACCCTCGCTACAAGGCGATCCGACGAGCGCAACACCCGCTTGGACCCCGAAGCACCCTCGCATCTCGATCTGCCTCGCGGCACTCTCGCCCTGTCTCCCCTACCTCCCGCCTTCCCCAAACTGTCGCCGAGTCCAGTCAAGCTCGAGGAGATCTCCCTCCAAACCCTGCGCCAGAGCCTGAGCCTGAGGAGGGTGCAGGTGAAGAAGGAATCTCGGAGTCCAAGTCCGAGGATTCTGTTGGGTCCGCCTCGCCGACAGCGCTCGCCACCGCGTCAGCAGTCCCTGACGTACGTAACGCCCCCGCCGAACTTCCTTCGGCGCCTTCACCGCCGACTCCGCCGAGAGGCCGCTCGAGCACTCGCTCCTCTCGAAGTTCGACCAGCGGAGGGCCACCACAGCCGCCTCCGCCCCCGCAGCGTCCTCCGTCCCCCCCGATGCCGATAATGTCCTCTCCTGCAGCCGCCCCCGATAAGGAGACTTTGAAACTCCTCCTCCCGCTCCGCTACGATGGCAAGACCGTCATCGAATGCAACCGGTTCTTGTCGCAGCTGCGCATCTACTGGCTGGTCAACACGTCGTTGACTACCATCGAACTCAAGGTGCAGGTCGCCCTTAGCCTGCTCGATGGAGATGCCCGCGCCTGGGCCACTCCCTACTTTGCCCAGCTCGCATCGGTGCAGGTGGGTGTGCAAGGGGCCACGACCCCGTTCGCAAACGAAGCAGCCTTTGCCGCCGCCTTCAGGGCCCACTTCGGAAATCTCGACGACGAGGCGGCAGCACAAGTAGAGCTGGCGAAGCTCTGCGCGGACAAGTCGGTCCGCGAAAAACGCACTGCCGCGGAATTCTCCGCGCTGTTTAAGGGTCCGGCGGACCGTTCCGGGTATGGGGACCTGGAACTACGCGACAAGTACCTGAGCGGCATCCCCTCCCGTGTCTACCGCAAAATTGAGCTCGAGACCTTCACCACGTGGCTAGAAGCTGAGAAGCGTGCCACTGAAGTCGAGCAGATCCTCGATATCAGCCGGGCCCGTCGGCCCGAGTTGAACAACTTCTTCTCGGCCCGAGGTCGAGGGCGCGGTGGGGCACGTGGTGGTGCACCCCAGTCACACGCAGCTTCGGCCAGCATCAATGCAACCGTCGGAAAAGGAAACTTCCCCGGCACATGCTTCGGCTGTGGGAAGCAAGGGTACCGACGCTTCGAGTGCCCCAACTGTAAGGACAAGCCTTACACAAAACGCGCCGACGCGCGGGCTACGGTTGCCTCGGGCTCCACCCAGGCGGCGACAAGCGCCCCCGTCACGACAACACCCTCGGCAAGTATAAGCGCCGCTTCAGCGAAATCCGAGCAATCGGAGCTGGCGGACTTAATGGCACAGGTGAAGTCGATGCGCGAGGAGCTCGAGCATTATCGGGCGATGAAGGAGGAGGGTTTTTGATCCGGTCCGCGCTTCGTGCCGCACGCGTCGGGCCGGGTATATCATGTAATCGTTATAATGTATTGTCGACTGCAATGGTGTATGAGTTGGACCAGGGGTCCCAGCATTTTCACATCCCAGTTCGACTCCAAGGAAAAAGATGGCACAAGGACATAATCGCTATGGTGGACAGCGGAGCCACCACAAAGTTTATCAACAAGCGATTCATTATCGAGAATAAGGTGCAAACGCGGAAGTTGAAGGAACCAATTCCGCTGTACAACATTGACGGCACCCTGAACAAGGACGGAAGCATCTCGGAGGTAGCAGTGCTACAGATGCATATAGGAGAGCACATCGAGAAGACGGTGTTCACGGTCACGGACATCGGTCCGGAAGATGTGATCGTCGGGTTGGATTGGCTACGCAAGCACAACCCCGAAATAGATTGGGAAAAGGGCTCCCTCAAATTGTCGCGATGCCCTGAAACATGCAGTGCCAGGAGGACTGGCCGAATGGAGCAAGCAGCGACTGCGCGTGATACGGGGGTCAGGCCCACGGCACGCAGGCGTTTGCCGAAATCCAAACGGTCGGTTATAGGTGCCTGCCGGAGTAAGGTACTCCCGGACTTCGAACCCGAAGAAGATCCGGTGGAGGTAGAGTGGGATGAGGCCGATTTGATCGAAGCCTGGGAGCAAGGCGTCACGCTTCCTGGCGCTCCTCAGCTGTTTGTCGCAGCAGGACATACGTACTCCCAGCTATTCGCTGAGGAGGAGATCAAAAAGAAGGTCGTTAAGACCGCCGAGGAGTCAGTACCTAAACAGTACCACGAGTTCCTGAATGTCTTCTCCAAGGAAGCATCAAAACGGCTACCCGAAAGGAAGCCGTACGATCACGCTATCGAACTCGTGCCCGGCTACTCGACCTTCCACTCTAAAGTGTATCCCTTGTCGAACAACGAGCAGGAGGAACTGGACAAGTTCCTAAAAGAGCAACTGGCGAAAGGCTACATACGAGAGTTGAAGTCGCCCATTTCGTCCCCCTTTTTCTTCATCAAAAAGAAGGAAGGGACGCTTCGACCCGTGCAGGACTACCGCCGATTAAACGCGATCACAGTCAAGAATCGTTATCCCTTGCCGTTGATCGCCGAGATGGTGGATAAACTCCGAGGCGCTACGCTCTTCACGAAGTTCGATGTCCGATGGGGGTACAACAACGTCCGGATCAAAGCCGGTGACGAGTGGAAGGCGGCCTTTGTAACTAACCGAGGGTTGTACGAGCCCTTGGTGATGTTCTTCGGTCTCACCAACTCCCCCGTGACTTTCCAAGCGATGATGAACGAGATCTTCCACGATCTCATTGTCGGTGGCAAGATCCTCGTGTACCTGGATGACATACTCATCTTCTCCACCAATAAAGAGGAGCATGAAAAGCTCACATGCGAAGTTCTACGCCGCCTTCAGGATAATGATCTGTTCCTGAAGCCTGAGAAGTGCGAGTGGGACGTTCCCAAAGTCGACTACGTCGGCTACGTGTTCGGTGGCGATGAGGTGGCGATGGATCCCGCGAAGCTGAAAGGAATCAATGAGTGGCCGGTACCCCGGAACAAAAAAGACGTTTAGAAGTTCCGGGGGTTCTCCAACTTTTACCGCCGCTTCATCAAAGACTTCGCTAAGATCTCGCGACCACTCGACCGGCTCACAGGGAACGACCCATAGCATTGGGGTGAGGAAGAGCAGCGCGCCTTCGACGAGCTCAAGCGGCTCTTTGCGACGACTCCAGTCCTGGCGCTGTACGATCCTAATCGGGAGACGCGCATTGAGGTTGATGCCTCGGGTTACGCCACCGGCGGCGTATTGATGCAGAAGCAGGACGACGGCAAATGGCACCCTATTGCCTACCGATCTCACGCTATGGACCCAGCCCAGCGTAACTATGAGATCTACGATAAGGAGATGCTCGCGATCATTGAGGCACTAGACGATTGGCGCCATTATCTCGAGGGTCTGCCCAATCAGTTCGAGATCGTCACTGATCACAAGAACCTCGAATACTGGCGCACGTCCCAGCACCTCACGCGTCGTCAAGCGCGATGGTCGCTGTTCCTAGCCCGCTTTGACTTCCGCATCACGCATAAAGCCGGGACGTCCAATGGAAAGGCTGATGCCCTGTCATGTCGGCCAGACCATCAGATCGGCGATGAGGACGATAACACCGATCAAGTGGTTCTCAAGCCAGAGCGCTTCCGCATCGCCTCTGCCAGGTGCGGTCATGCCTCGGTGACGGCCGATCAGTCGCTTCTGAAGCGCATCAGGGAATGTTCGGAGAAGGATTGGGAGGTGGCCGAGGCACTTGAAAAGGTGCAGGACCTCGGGCCGCCCCGGCTACAAAGGGGCTTCAAGGAGTGGAATGCCGAACAAGGGCTTCTGTTGTTCCGCGGGTGCGTGTACGTCCCAAAGAACGCGGAGCTCCAGCGAGATATAGTCAAAATCCACCACGACTCGCCGATTGCCGGTCATGGTGGCCGTGCCAAAACTTTGGAGCTCGTGTCGCAGAACTACTGGTGGCCTGGGATGTCCAAATTCGTCAACGAGTACATAAGCACCTGCAACGTGTGCAACTGTACCAAGACATTCCCAGCCAAGCCCCAGGGTCCACTGAAGCCAAACGAGATCCCCGAGCGCCCGTGGCAGATCATCACGACCAATATGATCATCGGCTTGCCAAAGTCTGATGGATTTGACTCGATCCTGGTTACCGCCGACCGCTTCACAAAGCAGGTCCACTTCTCAGCCTGTCATGAGACCCTGACGGCGGAAGGTGCGGCAGACCTGTACATCCGCGATGTGTTCAAGCATCATGGGGCCCCGGCTAAGGTCATATCAGACCGAGGTCCCCAGTTTGCTTCGAAGTATCTCCATGCGGTGTACAAGGGACTGGGA